TCTGGAGAAATACCCTGACCTGACACTACATGGCCTAGATATTGAATCTCTCTCTTCAAGAAGTGACATTTCTGTGGCTTTAAAGTGAAACCGACTGCTCGCAACCGATCAAACACTTTCTGTAGCCTAATAAGATGATCTTGAAAATTGTGTGAAAAAAAAACAAGAATATCATCAAGATATGCCAAGCATATTTCCCACTGGAGACCCCTAAGAGTGTGTTGCATAGCCCGTTGAAATGTTGCTGGCGCATTAGTTAAACCAAAGGGCATCACCAAAAATTGATACAAGCCAACATGTGTAGTGAAAGCTGTTTTTGGTTTATCTTCCTCAGCAACTTCAATCTACCAATAACCAGAGGTTAGATCAAGACTAGAGAAAATCGTTGCATCTGATAAGGAGTCAAGACACTCATCGATTCTGGGTAGAGCATAGCTATCTTTGATAGTGGCATCATTTAATCGGCGAAGTCAATACAAAACCGCCAAGTGCCATCCTCCTTCTGAACCAAAATCACTGGCGAGCTCCATGGGCTCACCGAAGGCTCAATAAGACCATGATGCAACATATCATTGATTTGCTCTTTAATGATTTGTCTTTTGTCAGGAGCAGCACGCCGTACAAACTGTCGAACAGGGAGTGAATTATGTTAATATGGTTAATATGGAGTGTTAATATGGTGTTGAACACCTTTTGTACGACCTAGCTTTCTTCTAGGGAAAGTGAAAATATCCTCATTTTCAATCAGAAATTGATGAAACTGCTGCACCTGATCTGGAGATAGACTATTCCAGTCAATGTCAAATAGATGAAAATCGGTTGACATAGCCAAAGCATCCTTCGGAGCAACACTAGAGGTGGTCTGCGCTGCACAAACCATGTGCTTCGAATCATGATCTGTGGCAGACTGAATAGCACTTCTTCCTGGCCCTAATTGACCAGGCGTGCAAGAAGCATATTATTATGAATTTGACCTATGCTTCTAGCTAATACCAATCCATCAGGTAAGCTAGAATGTGGCTCTATCATTACAATGTCATGACAATCTGTGGACACATCAGAGAGCAAAACGGGGAAACAAATTTCAGACCGGGCAGGCACCACACTATTTTCTGCTGCCTGAATGAGACCCAATGGCTGAAAAGAATCTGGACCTGTTTTCCTCACTATCTGCTTTTGATCTAAATCTAACATAAAAGTTCCCTGGGGGTTTGAGATTAAAAAGTCGTATCCCAACAGAATGCAAGGGTCCAGCAAGTTAGGCAGTACCCAGAAGGTATGGAGGACAATA